GCTTGGATTCTGGAGTGTAATTGAATAATGTATCTCCCCCATCTGTTCCCAGCAGAGGTGTTACAACATCAAAGCCTGAATCCAATTCCCGGGTTGTCACTCTCTGTGTTTTCATCTGTTCACATTGTTGTATGTAACAGAAAGGAAATAGACCCTTCCAGAAAGACAAGTGGCCTGTGAGCTTTGGCGCCAGGAATGTACTGGCAACCTTAGAAAAGTAATGAATGCAGGGAGCTGTACCCCTGTTCCCCACCTGCCCTGGACTGTTTGTGCTATTTGTTGCTATTGTACTTGCCGTCCTGTTTGAATTGCAGCAGAACAATAGTCTTTGACTAAGGCTGGCTGCAGAATCTGATGCAAGGGTAGGGGGCAGTCTCTGTAATTGGGTTGTGAGCCTGGAGGGACCTTTGCTCTGTCTTTTCGGTTGGCTTAATCTGGACCTTGTGATGCCATCTACAAAATCCCAGGGTGTTTTTGGCTGGTAAAATGAAAGAATCTTAGCACTGGACTGGCCGTAGTGGGTATTCCTGGGGCTGTTTTGCCCAGTGGCGAGCAGCTTCTGCTTCAATAAATGCAGCAGGAGCTCACTGCCTTCCTTCCCCTCTGCCAAGGGCACAGGGCACAGGGCTGGCCTCCTGGGCAAGCGACCTGTACAATGGCACAGGACTTGCACTTGGAAGGCTCCCACACTGGGTTTAATGGTCTGCTGTTGCTGTCTTGAAATTCTTAATCATTCTTGAGCAAGGGGCGCCCTGGATTTTTATTTTGCACTGGGCCCCACAAACTATGTAGCCCGTGCTGCCGGCACATTTAAAGCTGCCTTCACCCAACACCCACAGACAGGATGTTTGTATAAATGTCATAATCTACCTCCAGACCCCACCCTGCCCTCGCTTCCTGCTCTGCTCCAGGTGCTGACTTCCAAATCCAGGCTTTTCCAGTCTCACTTGACTTAACCTGCCTTGACCCTTGCAATTTGAAGTCTGAACCTGGCTTCTCTAATTTGACCCTTAAAGGTCAAATGTCTCAGTGGTTGCAGGCTCTAGTTTTGGTTTTTCCCACTTGTCACCTCTTAGAATAAATTCAAAGCCCACTCAGCTCTGATCACCAGACTCTTAGCAGAGATGGGCCTCAGCCCTAAGAGATTAGTCAGCTGATTCTTTAGAGTTATTTTGGACTTTTGTTAAAAGCGCCATGTACTGAGCCCAACATCTGCTTCCCTATATTTCCTACACATTACCTGGTAAATGGGATAGATTGCTAGTTATTGAGTCAGCAAGTAAACAGATGCAAAAATAAACATACTGAAATTAAGCATGTTTGCTATAAATGATAATATTAAACCACCTCCTTCTCCAGTTAAAAATATCCAAATGAGGCCAGGTGCGGTGGCTCACTGTAATCCCAGCACTTTGGGAGGCTGAGGAGGGCGGATCACGAGATCAGGAGATGGAGACCATCCTGGCTAACACCGTGAAACCCCATCGGTACTAAAAATTAAAAAAAAATTAGCCAGGCGTGGTGGCACATGCCTGTAGTCCCAGCTACTCAGGAGGCTGAGGCAGGGGAATCATGTGAACCCGGGAGGCGAAGGTTGCAGTGAGCCAAAGTCACACCACTGCACTCCAGCCTGGGCAACAGAGCAAGACTCCGTCTCAAAAAACAAACAAAAAAATATCCAAATGATTCTTCCAGTCACCCTTCACACATCCCTGCACAGCAAGCTCGGCCTCAGATTCCCAGATCAACTGCCTCCATCAGACACCCCAACACCCAGGCTCCCTGTCCACACCCTTTCAGTCCACCCCTCGCTCCTGTTCAGACAGGTCTGCTCACAACTCTTCATCCCATCCTCTTCTCTGTCCCCATGACCCCTCTCAGGTGGCCACTGGGCCTGGCATGTCATTTCATGGTGACAAGTCTTCCTAAGTATCTTCTGTGGCAGGGTTCTGCTTTCATGCCTCTCCCACCATCAGCATCCCCTGTGCTCCATGCTCTGAACTTTTCTGGGCTCCTGCATAGTGATGTTTATTTTGACTATTGCTGGGCCCGTGCCACCTCAATTACGGTCCCTGGGAGGCGGAACTGCAGCCACCTCCAGCACCTCCCTTGTCTCCTGGATTATCTCTTGTGATCTTCCTAGACCTGCTCTTACCAATTCTTAGACTCCTTGGTAGCACAACCCTTTACATGGACACCTTTAAGTGTGTGTGTGTGTGTGTGCGTGCACGCATGTATATGTGTGTTCGTGTATGTGTGTTTATGTGCATGGGTGTATGTGTGTGTACAGATACGTGCATGTGTGTACACAGGATTATTTCCTACTGAGAGTGTTGATTTCATTATGAGGAACTAGCCTTGTACATCAACACACAGCTGACATCTGCATCTCAATGTCACCTTTAGCTCAATACTATATGAGTTCAATGCCAGCATCTCCAAACTGCCTTTTCACATATTTGAACCCAAACCTTTGGCCATTCTTGTTTTCCACAGCAGTGTGCATTGACCTAGTGGTTGCCAAACCTGGCAGCCCAGTAGAATCATCTGGGAAGCGTTTTACTTTTTCTTTCTTTTCTTTTTTTTTTGAGACAGAGCTTCACTCTTATTGCCCAGGCTGGAGTGCTATGGTGCAGTCTCGGCTCATTGCAACCTCTGCCTCCTGGGTTCAAGCAATTCTCCTGCCTCAGCCTCCCAAGTAGCTGGAATTACAGGCATGCACCATCACGCCCAGCTAATTTTGTAATTTCTCTAAGTTGGTCATGCTGGTCTCGAACTCCCGACTTCAGGTGACCCACCTGTCTCGGCCTCCCAAAGTGCTGGGATTATGGGTGTGAGCCACCGCCCCTGGCCAGGAGCATTTTTTAATGTATTTCCTATGGTAGCATCTCAGACCTGCAGAATCTGAGTGTCTGTGAGTGGGACCCTGAAATCCTCATATTTCCAAAGCTCCCAGACTGAACCTAATTTGGAAAGGCTAACAGCAAGCCACCTTTACCCAGACATTAAGCTAATAAATGCACCTTAAATGGGCATCTGGTGCATTACCCTGCATTAGGTAGGGATGTATTATTATCTCAATTTCATAGTTGAAATAACCAACGCCCCTGGAGACTACACGACCTGTCCGAGAGAGAGCACAGCCAGGACTCTGCAAGTTGCCTCCTCAGGGCCGCTCTTCCCACCGTGCATGAGGCTGCTCATGCAGTGCACGGAGTCAGATCTAGGGTTCCCCTTGTGTGCATCCTAAACCATAACCCTGGAAGCGGCTTGAGCACAAGGGCACATCCAGACACCATCTGATCTAACCCGCCTCTAGAATCTCCTGGCCCCCTTCCCCTGCCTGCTCTGTTTATTCTGCGCAGACCCGTCATGGAACTACTGGGCGGGCATTTGCTCATGTGTCCATCACCTGCTGCACTCGGGGCTCCCCAAGGTGGTTGGGGTGCTGTGGAATGTGCACTGATCTCTGATGTGGAACAGATCTGCGTGTGAATCTCAGTTTGGCCAGTCTATGAATTTGTTAGAGCTACCTTAAATTACATGTCTGGAGACCGGAAGTCTGAGAGCAAGGTGTGGTCAGGGTGGGCTCCTTCTGAGGGAGTGAGGGATTTGTTCTAGCCCCTCTCCTGGCCTCTGGTGGTTCACTGGCCATCCTTGGCATTCCTTGTAGACCAGGCTGGTCTCGAACTCCTGACCTCAGGTGATCCACCCACCTCAGCTTCCCAAAGTGCTGGGATTACAGGCGTGAACCACTGTGCCTGGCCCAAATTTCCTCTTTTTACAAGGACATCAAACATATTGGAGGAGGCCACCCCAATGATCTCATTTTAACTTGGTTACGTCTGTAAAGACACTATCTTTCAATAAGGACACTTTCTGAGGCACTGGGGAAACCTCAATATATCTTTTTGGGGGATACAATTAAACTCATAAGAGCAAATAACTTGTTTTGTGAATTGGAGCAAGTCATTGAACCTCACAGAAGCAGTTTATTGATCCATGAAATAGGGATTAAAAAATACCCACTGTGCAGGCTACTTTCTTAATAACTGTTAGCAGATTAGATAAGGCACAAAACTTTGTTTTTTAAAGCAAGGTAGAGAACAGTGAGGTTAGTTACTACAATCTGGGTTAAAAGAGGGCGGGCAACTATCCATCCATTAGCACCCCCTCCTGCCCCATGAGAGAGAGAGAGTGTGTGTGTGTGTGCGTGTGTACGTGTGTGTACCATAGTGATTGTCCAGATCATCACAGCCTCGGGCAGATTCTGACAGAAACCACATATCAAACAAACACGATTATTCCTGAGTGCTGACTTCAAATTTTCACTCTCACGAAGGGTGTATCAGCACTCAAATCAAGAACTAGGCACCTTTGTTGCTGTTAAATCGACCTTATCTTTATTTAGCTCAGCATGTTTCCTAAACTTGCCTCATCACAGACACATTAAAAGCACAGATCCCCTCCCCAGGGATTCAGATTCCTTTGGTTTGGGTAGGAGCATTTGAACAAGCTCCTCACATGAGTCTTATTGGACAAGGCCGGAACAGGGCTGCTCTGATCAGCCAGGTTCAAGTCTCTGGACCTGGGGGAGGGGGGTATGTGGGGGCCTCCATTTCCTCACCTTTAACCCTGTACTTGATTTTGAGTCTTGAGCTCTCCAGGTCCTTTCCAGCCACAAGATGCCATCTCTTTGCTGTGGGTTCAGAATTCTCTGCATTATAATAAGCTCCCTGCACTACCTCTGATATCTTTTGCCATATATTTTCTCATCATCTGGAGGGTTGGGGCCTCTTTACTCAGTGGGTGTCAGCCAAGCTGACCTGCTCACTGCAGTTAGAGCGTGTGTGGAGAAGAGCAGTGGACCAGGGGAACCAGCGCAGGAGCAGAAACCTCCAGTGCAGTCTTCTCTCTCTAAAGCAGGGAGGGACAATCTTGTTCCTGGCCTCCAGGGTAAGTCTGCAGACCAGCTGGGGACCTGCTTGGCTTGGGCTTACCTTTTAACATGGCCACTCTGTGAATCTCGGCTGCAGAACAATGGCTGGTCATTTAAATGCCCTTGGCACACTCAGCAGTCTAGGATAAACAAATTGTTTTGTTGATTTTGTTCTGTTACATAAAAGAGAGAGAGAGACCCTCACCTGTGGCTGGTGGAAATGGAAAGTGGTGTAGCTAATATGGAAAACAGTCTGGCAACTCCTCAGAATGTGAAACATACAGACGTACTGCCCAGCCTTTCTACTCCCAGGTCTATCACTCAAGAGAGATGAAAGCACGTGTCTACACAGAAATTGTGCACTCATGTTTATAGCAACATTATTCACAATGGCCAAAAGGAAGAAACAGCCATCAACAGATGAATGGATAAAGCAATTGTGGTTTACCCACAGCATGGAATATCATGTAGCCACAAAAAGGAATGAAATGTTATACGTGCTGCAACTTGGATGGACCTGGAAAATGGGCTGTGTGAAAGAAGCCAGACACAGAAAGAACACATGTTACATGATTCCTTTCACATGAAATGTCCAGAATAGGCAAATCTACAGAGATAGAAAGCAGATTGGTGGTTGTCAGGGCCTGGGGAAGGGGAAAATGGGAGTGAGATGTTATTCGGGGAGATGAAAAGGTTTTGAAACTAGAGAGAGGTGGCAAGTGCACAACACTGCGAAATACCACTGAATTGTGCACTTTATAACCCTTAATGGTCTGTTATGTGAGTTGCTCATCAATAAAAAGAGAGAGAGAAAAGGTAAGGGAGAGACTGGTGGAGGGAAGAGAGGAAAAATGGGAAAGAGAAGAGAGGCAATATTATTAGGGCTGGCATGTGAATTTTTTTTTTTTTAGAAGATAATGTGACCATTTCGTCACTGAAATGGAACAGAGCACTCCTCTGATTACAGTGACCGCTGACCTTCTCCAGGGGGTGGAAGCTCCATCGTTTCCTTTTCACCAGCAGCAGTCTTTGATACCACAAGTCACAAGATGTGGCACCAGCATTATATCTTTGGGTCGACTGGGGGAGGCCCCTCCAGCGGTCTGTCAATCAAGCATCTCTATCTCAGAGGACTCTGCTCTGAGATTGAGCCACACAAGGTTCTTTCTGCCCTGGGGTCTGGACAACCACTTTGGGGCTCATAGGGATGTGGGGTACACAGGGAAACGTGAGCTCACCTGGGCTGCAGATTCACAAGGACACGGATGGACTCCTTTCACTAGCTCTCAAATGTGTAAATCATGCTTTTCCTGGTACAAGGCAGGGCAAAGACTTGGATTTTTTTAAAAAGACAATCTGATGGAGATTCAAGCTGGACAGCAGAGAAGACGCATTGGTTGGCCAGTCTGGAGAATGCATTTGGAAGGGTTTCCACATAAGTCCTCTGCTGTTGAGGTTTGCAGTCCTTGCCTTGGGTGCCTTTCAGACAGCCTGGACGAAGGCATCTGGTAAAGCTGACTGCCTAACAGAATCACTTCAGAATGAGTTCGGAGTTCTGCAGAATTCACTAAGTCTCAAGTCAGACCTGCATGGACTCCAAATGACTGATCTTGGCTGCTTGCCATCTACCTCCGCGACCACCCTGTTAGCAGTTCGGTGTTTACTTGCGGTTTTAGCCACCAGTCACATCATCCTTCACTGATGGTTGCTTCCCACATCTCTGCCTAAATCTGTGTCCCACTCCTGAGCACTCAGCGCTGACACTGATCATTCCTGAATGCAGATTCTAGATTGACAGACGCTGCAGAAGCTCAGATAAGTTATTATTAATAGGAAAGAGGTCGATGTGACTCCTAGCGTACACAGGCTTTGCCAGGGTCAGAGCGAAGTTCTTGCAGCGCATTCCAGGCTCCCCAATATGCAGATGCTCCCTTGGAGCCCTGGGGAAGCTTCCGGGGCTGTGCAGTTTGCTAGCACCCAGGCAGATCCAGATGGCAGCTGATTACTGCAGGGCTCTGTGATCTCTGTGACAGCTGGCCAGCTCCCTCCTGCAGTTCCAACAGTGCTCTGTGTTTCAAGATGGACACCCAGGACGTCACCTTCTTAGCTTTACAGCCACCTGGTAGATCCCTGCTGGAGTGTCCTCCTCAACGCTGGTCATGGGGAGGAGAGTGGATCCTGAAGGGCTTATCCACAGTGCCCCCTTTACAGATCTCCACTGCTCTGAGCTTCGCCGATGCAAGACTCATAGTCCCCTTAGATTCCTGTTATGATTGCCGTTCTCTTCTTACAAAGGACTTCGTTGCTCTCCAGTCTAAGACTTTCAGTAAAGCAGACTATCTTTTAATGCAATAACTCAGAGTAAGTGAACATTTTAATTTTCATTTAAAAATGTAAATTTTGTTGAAAACCAAATAGTATTTACTTTTAAACCAATCAGTGCAGCATGGTTGTGAGCCTCAAGTCCTGAACTGCTTCCCCCGACCCCACCCCATCTCCCCCTCCCAGAAATGATAATCCTGCCTGAATACCATTTGTGCATCCAAGGGAATCTGTGCCAGATTATGTCTCCAGGGCTGGAGTTTACAGCTCCCGTCACATGGTGTGGTAACTCATGCTTCTTAATCAGAGCATCAAATGACTGAGTCAGTGCAGTCTTGTTTTTATTTTTACAAAGCGTCTCCCTGGCGAGGCCTGCCCTGAGCTTCAGAGCCTTTCCTTGGCTCCACTCCAATAACTTGAGTAACTTCCTATGCTGAGGGCCCTTGTGTGCTGCGACTTCTTATCCTATGAGCCACTAGGTTAGAGCCTGAATCTATTTCCAGAGTGCTCATTACAGGCGCTTTGGAAGGAGGTCTGAGCTCTGGAATAAGAGACTGAACTTCTGGCTTCAATTCTGGCTTTGCCCCTGAGTGGCTGTGTGACACAGCACAGCTTAATTAACCTCTCTGGGCTTCCATTCCTACATCTGTAAACCAGGAATCACAAACAGGATGCCAACAGAGGGATGAGCTCAGGCCTTAGAGTTGGACAAAGCTGCATTCAGATGCCAGCTCTGCAGTCTGCTAGCTTCAGGACCCCACCAGAGCCTCCATGGATGAGAGAGCCGATATCTGCCTTCTGGAGTTCCTGTAGAAATTAAAAGGGATGAGGTATGTGCCATGCCTGGCACATGGCTAGGCACTGAGGAAATGTTTCTGAAGACTACAATATGGATAAAACACACAGTGTATCTACCTCCATGGATATTTTAAAGGATCAAATTAATACATGTGAAAATACACTGTAAACTATAAAATAATATAAAATAACATTATTGGGTTTTTTTTCTCTCAGATCATTTTACTCTATTTACTCTCCCCAAATTCTTATTTAGAAATTTTACACCCTGAAAAAAGTTGGAAAAATAATAAACACTTGAATTTCCTTTTCCTAGAGTCACCAATTATTATTATTATTATTATTATTTTGAGATGAAGTTTCACTCTTGTTGCCCAGGCTGGAGTGCAATGGCACAATCTTGGCTCACTGCAACCTACACCTCCTGAGTTCAAGCAATTCTCCTGCCTCAGCCTCCTGAGTAGCTAGGATTACAGGCATGCGCCACCATGCCCAGCTAATTTTCTATTTTAGTAGACACAGGATTTCTCCATATTAATCAGGGTAGTCTCGAACTTCCGACCTCAGGTGATCTGCCCACCTCAGCCTCCCAAAGTACTGGGATTACGGGCATGAGCCACAGCACCTGACCATAGATTCACCAATTATTAATAGTTGCCTCTTTGCTTGCTCTATCTCTATCTCTATTTATCTACCTATCATCTATATATAATTTGTTTAAGCATTTGAAAGTAAGTTGTGTTTGGGAGGCCAAGGTGGGCAGACTCTGAGGTCAGGAGTTTGAGACCAGTCTGGTCAAGATAGTTAAACCCCTTCTCTACTAAAAATACAAAAAATTCCCCAGGCATGGTGGTGTGCACCTGTAATCGCAGCTGCTTGGAAGGCTGAGGCAGGAGAATCATGTGAACCCAGGAAGTGGAGGTTACAGTGAGCCGAGATTGCACCATTGCACTCCAGTGTGGGTGACAGCATGAGACTCCGTCTCAAAAAAAAAAAAGGAAAAAGAAAGTTGCAGATATCATGACTGTACCCTAAGTACTTCAGTGTGTGTCTCTTGAGAATAACAGCATCCTCCTATAGAACAAAGTACTATTACTACCGTATTAGTATTAGTAGGCTTGGTCTGTGATACCAAAATGCCATAGACTGGGTGACCTCAACAGCACACACTTATTTTTCACAATTCCAGAGGTTGAATGTGTAAGATCAAGGTGTCAGCTGATTCAGTTCCTGGCGAGGGCCCCCTTCCTGCTTGCAGATTGCAGATGGCTGTCTTTGTTTTTTTCTTTTTTTTTGAGACAGAGTCTTGCTCTGTCTGGAGTGCAGTGGTGCAGTTTTGCCTCACTGCAGCCTCCCCTCCTGAGTTCAAGCGAATCCCTGCCTCAGCCTCCTGAGTAGCTGGGATTACAGGGGGCGCCACCACACCTGACTAGTTTTTGCATTTTTAGTACAGATGGGGTTTCACTATGTTGGCCAAGCTGGTCTCGAACTCATGACATCAAGTGATCCGCCCGCCTGGGCCTCCCAGAGTGCTGGGATTACAGGCATGAGCCACCACCCCCAGACAGCTGTCTTCTCACTATGTCCTCATGTGGTGGAGGTGGAGAGAAAGCTCTGACATCTCTTCCTCTGTTTATGAGGACACTAATCCCATCATGAGGGTCCTGCCCCTTTATGACTTTATCTAAATATATTTATCTCCCAAAGGTCTCATCTCCAAATGCCATTACATTGGGTTAGAACTTCAACATATGCATTGTGGAGGAACGCAAACATTGAGTTCATAATCATTGCTAAAAACTTTACCATCAATACAGTAGTATTATCTAATACACAAATATTCAAATTTGATATTCAGTATTTAAATTTTAAATATTCAAATTTTAAATTCAATATTCAATTTCAAATACGCTATATCCAAATTTTATTTTGATTGCATGTTAAAATGAGAATATATTGATTATGCTGGGTTAAAATACATTATTAAAAATTAATTTCACCTAGCTTGTCACTTTTTCATGTGGCTTTTAAAAAAAGTAAAATTCCATCTTTTGCCTGCATTGTGTTTCTATTGGACATCACTGCTCATAATATTCTCTCTCACATTTTGTTGTTGTTGTTTGTGACATGGACATTTTTTGAGTCCAAGCCAATATCTTACAGAAGGACCTACAATATGGCTTTGTCTGTTTCCTTTTGAGTAGATTCTGTTTAAATATTTCTGACAAGGATATAATCTAAGTGATGTTGAGACTTCGCATCAGGGGCTCCCTGAGTGAGTTTGTCCCATTGTTGGGAATACAAAGTGTGATTACTTGGTTAAAACGGCCTCTGCCAGATGTAAAGATTCGTTTTTCCCAAATCAGAGGTGGTCTTTTGAAACCATATAAGCATCCTGCTCCTATTTACTCGGTTTTAGCATCTAATGATGCTTGTTGCCTGTATACATTAGTGATTGCGAAAATCACAGGTGTCTTAACTTTTCATTTTAACTCAGTGTCTTGACTAATTTCCTATTCTGGTCTTTTATGCTAATATATGATATGTGTAATTTGTTTTTTTTTTTTTTTTTTAGAAAAATCTCACTCTGTCATCTAGCCGGGAGTGGAGTGGTGCCATCTCAGCTCACTGTAGCCTCCACCTCATACCTCCAGGGTTCAAGCGATTCTCGTGCCTCAGCCTCCCGAATAGCTGGGTTTACAAGCATGTGCCACCATGCCCAGCTAATTTTTATATTTTTAGTGGAAACGGGGTTTTACCATGTTGGCCAGGCTGGTCTCAAACTCCTAACTTCAAGTGATCCACCCACCTCAGCCTCCCAAAGTGCTGGGATTGCAGGCGTGAGCCACCGCGCCCAGCCCAATTCGCTACTTTCTAAGTCTTATCCATTTATTTTACTGGCTGCATAGCATTCTGTTGTATAGAATGTAGAATAAAACACAGTTGAACCTCTGTTGATGATTATTTACATGGTTTCTAATTTTTTGCAATTAAAAATATTGATTCTATGAACATCTTTGTATGCTGTCCACCTAGTCATTTCCTGCCTTGAAATATATTCCTAGAAATGGTATTATTGAATATGTTCAGTTACATTTTTGACACATATAGTCAGATTGCCCTCCAGAAATATCACACAGTTCACACTTCCAGTGAATCAGCCAGAATACTTTCAGCTGCAAAGGAACAACAATCTCAACACAGATTGGCTTCCATAACAAAGACATTTGTCTTCTCATAGAAGCCAGAACTCCAAATGAAAGGTGCCACCGAACACTCCATTTTCTCCACCTCAATTTCTTTCCTTTTTTTTTTGAGGCGGAGTCTTGCTCTGCTGCCAGGCTGGAATGCAGTGGCACAATCTCAGCTCCCTGCAACCTCCGGGTTCAACCACAGGTTCAAGTGATTCCCCTGCCTCAGCCTCCTGAGTAGCTGGGACCCTAGGCACATGCCACCACGCCCAGATACTTGTTTATATTCTAGTAGAGACAGGGTTTCACCATGTTAACCAGGATGGTCTCGAGCTCCTGACCTCATGATCCGCCCACCTAGGCCTCCCAAAGTGTTGGGATTACAGGAGTGAGCCACTGCACCTGGTCAATTTCATTTCTTAAGAAAAGGACTAGTTGTAACCCATTAAATGGACTTCATGACTCACAAGGGGATCATGACCTACAGTTTGAAAAGCACTGGTTTAAAATACTTGAGTTGCTCCCTGGAGCTAGAGGTAGGTGGCTACCTGAACAAATTCTGACTTTTGTTAGGAAGGGATGAACGGATGCCCATCACTTTATCTACACCGGATGGACAGCACACCTTTCCCCAGGCCCTTCTCGCCCTGCAGGGTATTTGGCCTCCCGATCTTTGATAACCTAATAAGCGGATTTACTGTCTCTCTTTATAAAATTTCATCTATATAACAGTGAGATTTCATGGGTAAACAATATTGTATAGTGCCAGGCTCTAGTAAGAGGCCTGCCTGGATTCATACTCTGGAAACTTCACTGCTCACCTGTGTGACTTAGAGCAACTTAACCTCTCTGTGCCTCTGTTTTTTCATTTCTAGAAGGAGGATAATAATATCTACCTCATAGATTTGTTATGATCATTAAAAGAGATAACTTGGGCCAGGATGCAGTGGCTCACGCCTGTAATCCCAGCACTTTGGGAGGCAGAGGTGGGTGGATCGCCTGAGGTCAGGAGTTCGAGCCCAGCTTGGCCAACATGGTGAAACCCTGTTTCTACTAAAAAATCAAAAAATTAGCTGGGCGTGGTGGTGTGAGCCTATAATCCCAGCTACTCAGGAGGCTGAGGCAGGAGAATCGCTTGAACCCAGGAGACAGAGGTTGCAGTGAGCTGAGACTGCACCACTTCACTCCAGCCTAGGCGACAAGAGTGACTGAAATTCCATCTCAAAAAAAAAAGGGATAATTTGTATAATATGCTTAGCACCCTTTCTGAAAATGCATTTTGGAAAAACTGCTTTTTTCATTTACAGGTTTCTGTTGCTCTATTAAGATGATGTCTGAATTTGAACCAATCACACCAGAGAAAAAAGTCGACAGCGACTTGAGCTGTGCTGAAACAACTGTGCCCTGATTTCCCTGGGCCCTACACAACTCATGTTGTGTATACAGAATGCAAAGGGAAGAGCTGCTTGTAAGACACAGGGTGGGCAAGGCCCTGGAGCTCTGCGAAGCCAAGAAGGCGCCATGGATGACTCTGTCTTGCAGAAGTTTAATAAGAAGAAAAGGTAAACAAACGTTAAAACAGAAAATGCACCCAGCACAGATATATTTTTACAGATAGCGCACACAGTTCCTTTTTCTTGGTGTGCCCCTGGTCCCTGCAGCCATTTGGTCAAGTGCAGTGACTGTCTTCCTTCAGGTCCTCTACTGGTGTGCGCTTCTCCAGCCTAGGTCCATGTCTCTCCATCTTTGGACGAGTGCCAGTGCCTTTCCTGACACATTGAGTGCTGAACAGACAGTAAACGGCTGACTGAACAAATGCAATTTACAACTAAATAGTGGAAGATGCAGGAGTAATTGGAGTGTAGTTATTTCTTGGATTATCCGTTTTCCCTCTGGGATCCATGGTGGTTTATATACAAAATCTCACAGTCAATGTCTCCTTAGTTGGGAAGCCTAAGTGTTTAGGAAAAATAGGAAGTGGGTAAAGAATTAAGAAAAGAAAAAGAAATAAGGCTGGGTGCGGTGGCTCACACCTATAATCCCAGCACTTTGGGAGGCTGAGGCTGGCAGATCACCTGAGGTCCAGAGTTCAAGACCAGCCTGACCAACATGAAGAAACGCCATCTGTACTAAAAATACAAAATTAGCTGCATTTGGTGGCACATGCCTATAATCCCAGCTACTCCGGAGGCTGAGGCAGGAGAATCGCTTGAACCTGGGAGGCAGAGGTTGTGGTGAGCCAAGATCGCACCATTGAACTCCAGCCTGGGCAATAAGAGAGTGAAACTCTGTCTCAAAAAAAAAAGTGTTGTGTGTTCCTATGAAAACACAGACGCTGTAGACAGAAAGTCTGCAGGACTATAATGAGCTAACTGCAAAGGGACCTATAAATTCCACGTGGTGTCTACCTGTAAATCAGGGCCACCTCAAGGTCTAAGACCCTTGGCATTGCTGTCGTATGAATGTGTGAGAGATTTCAATTGAGATTGATTAGAAAAGGTACCTTGCCTCTAATTGAAAATTGGACAAATGGTAAGAGCAGGTAAATCATAAGAGACACAAATTCCCCCAGGAGCTGTAAAATGCTAGGTTGACACGTCTCACAGACTGTTGCAACTGTCATCATCAGTTTTTTGACAAGTGAACGAGATTACCCGAAATCGTGGTTGGAATTATAATAATGGCTAACATGTGTAGTGTTGTCTATTCCTGGTGTGACTTTATCCCCATACAACAGAAATCCACAAATAAAAAGAAAATTGTTTTCTGAAATGCATTTACTGTGTTAAGCACCTTATATTAATTACCTCTTTTAATATGATTCTGTAAGGTAGATATTAGTATTCCCATTTGGAAAATGATGACCCAGATGCACAGAGAGGTTAAGTAATTTGCTCAAAGACACACAGCTAAGTAATGGTTGCGGAGCATGAACTCAGGCAGATCTCTCACAAGAGACTGCACTATACGTTATTGCTTGCCAATGAACTTTCACTGGCAGATGAAATAAAAAGGCAGGTATTTTCTGAAAAGCAAGCCCATTCTGTAGTGTTAACTCAAAGTCTGAGGTTCTTCCCCAGGTTGGACATACCAGTATAAGGGTAATGGTGATGATGCTGAAATTTCCAGGGACCTTAAAAACCGCTTGGGGGTTAGGGAGCTGTTTCTTCAACCTCCATCGTGGAAAATAATCAAACCTTAGTCATCTCCAGTCTGTGACTAATACCCATTTCCAGGGCTGTTCCATTATGCTGCAGAAGCCACTGTCATGACTAAGCCATCAAGATGCGTTTTTTTCCAGATGACATACGCTGCACAGGACTCAATTCTATTAAGCCAGCCTTTCTGAGTCTGGATCTGGAGGAGTCGTTGTATCACTGCCTTTGAAAATTAGGCTGAAGGGGGTGGTATGTATTAATATAACCAGGCTCCAGTTTCTCTCCTCCCAGGATGCCTGACCTCTCCAGCCCATTCCCACCTCTCTCTTAGTGAACCTGCTGCGCCTGTATTGTGGGGGCCTGCGTGACCTCATCACCGTGAGCAGGGGAGTGTTGGGCTGGGCCACGGCCCTCCCAGTGCCCTCCCAGGCAGAGCCTCCACCCTGGGTTGTTTTACAGTTAATCAGGGGCTACAGAAGGTGGATGGTGCTAAATTAAGGCAGAAAACCAGAAAAAAAAGCAAGGACACACCATTCAATACACCAATGCTTTTATTTTAAAGCAGACACTAACTGAGGCCGTTTCTGATTCTGACACTCTATAATTATGATCCTGAGAAACATTTATTTAGACAACAACATAAATGAGTTCATGACTTCCCTTGTTACCTATACATCACAAGGGTCAGAGACATGGCGCCAAGAACAATTATTTTGTCACTAACTGAAATTCTTTTGAGTTCTAATTATTGGGGTATTTAGCCTCCTCCCAACTAAAATACCAACCTTTTCCCCAGCTTCTGAGAATAAAGAAAATCTGATCCACTCCCCCGAATAAAACTCAGAGTCCCTTCACCTCCAAGGTGAAGCCCGTCTTTTCTCACGGCACAGTCCTTCATGATCCATTCCCTGCTTACCTCTTCAACCTTACCTTTTATTATTTTTTAAATCAATGTATAATAGTGGATGTATTTATCATGTACAGCATGATGTTTTGAAATATATCTTTCAACATGACTCACTTCTGCCTCAGGTAAGTCTCAGCCAAATGGCAGCAACCCATCAAGTTCTCTCTGTCTCTTGGTGGTCCCAGGCCATCCTCTTGGCCTTGAAACGACCCCTCCCGACCCTGACCTGTCCACTCTTACCTGACTGATGCTTCTCGCTTCCGTCCCAGCTAAGTCATCATTTCCTCCCTTCCCGGCTTTCTCCAAATGCCCACGTGTTGGTGCCACTCCTGCAAATTCCCACAGAAGAGCTCAGCAGCTGTCGTGGTGGTTTATAGCGGCCCCTGGATTTGTCTGCTTTCTCACCAACTGTACATTCTTGAGAGCAAGGGCTGTGTTATCTTCACTGTCACAGTCCCTGACACTCAGCCATTTTGTCTGGCACACAGCAGATGCTTCATAAATATTTGTGGTTGAATGTTATTCATGTTCATAAGATTTTTTTACATTTTTTGCGATTTAGAATGTCGCTCTCCATTCTCTTTTTCAACTCTCTGCCACTTACTGAAAACAACCAAGTGACTCATAGTTTCTCCCACTCCAAGCTGACGCCTACTCATGCCATCCAGAGGGCAGTCCCCACCTGCCCAGCCCCT